ATGGCTAAGGCATCCAGCACTTTGGTCACTGGATGCTGAACAGATCATTGACCCCTGTCAAAGCCAATGACAACCAACGGGTATCTATTAATCGTACGCCATGGACTGTCCCGTGCGGTGGTGATTGAACTTTCACTTGTATCTACCTAAAGTAATATATTTCTGTAATAACGTCCGTTGCGTTTTACGTTCCTCAAAGCATCCGCAGTACCTTAATACGACTAAGGGGTAATCCAAATCAAGTTTGACCGCAACGTTAGCTGCGGGTCACACCATCCATATCTAACTCCAGTAGGCCCACAATCATTCGACATAGATCATCTACGTTGATAATCAAAATAGTCAACATATTCTCAATAAAATCACTATACCTACGCTGTCGCTCTGCGTTAGAAATTTAAACTATATGTAAAAGACTGTAGTGGCTTTGCTTCGTTAGTCAATCACCTCGATAACCGTTATAATATAAATCTCAACGATGTTTATAATCAGAAGCAGCAATTACAGTTTATCTGCGGATAGCGCAGATCACAAAGCTTTAAGCACATCTAGTGAATTTGAAGCGGAGAATTGAACAAGTATGTACGAGCGACCAGATTGTTTTAGGGTGCAGTGATGCAAAGCAAGGACGAATAATAGGATTTGAGTATATATATACATGTGGAGGAGGATAAATCATCGAGTGATATTTAGACAATCAACATTTTAGTTAGAGTATGTCATGTGCTCTAGTGACCATAACGGTACAAATAAAAATATGCGAAGTGTTACTGATCAAATAACATTTTCTGTTAAGTAAGTTAATATAAAAGGCTCAATCGAGATCAATCATAACCGGAACTGGTTTTAGGATGGTTGCTATATGATTATTTACGGAAATTCTTTATCGTTGAGTATATCTTTGAGTATTGTTTGCATCCATACGTGTTAAGGTCTCTTTTCAATGTTAGATAAAGTTTTATACAAACCTCTGTTTTGTTTGTGTTCAGAGCCTATCACTTTAAAAAACGCTTAATCAGTTTTCTTTGTGAGCCCACAAAAATAATTTATGGCTGAAGTAAAACATCGTTGTGGCAGACCTGCGTGCTATCTTCTTGTCGATGATGGGATGTAGTTAGGCAACTTCAACAAGTGGTATCACAACGTGTAGACCGGACTCACAACGGCTGCATATAAAAGATGCTGCAAGCCATTATCACGTTGGCTGAGCAAAGCATGTTGTTCTACAAAGTCTCCGCTTATTCCAGAGGCGATCAACCCGCTGAAGACATGTAGAAAATTGCCATAGGATAAACAAGCAGCAGTAGATGAGCAGAATTTTGCTTTCGAGGAAATAGAGTGTGTTATCATGAGCCCAGATCTGGATTTGAATAAGACCACAAAGGTGGACCCCATCAGGCAAGCAGATAACAGACATACCGATGTAGGCAATGTCACAAGTAAAAAGGTAAAGCGCGCTGATAATAAACTAATTATAGTTAGTACTAAGGTATGCGAATCTCCGTATTCAAATATCAACGCAAAACAAACTACGGGTGAGCAAAGTTTGGGCGGTGTAGGGTATGTGATCAAGCGACAAAATAAGTTGAATGATTGGCTCACAGTCACACACAGGAAAGAAAAGTAAGAAAACAGAATGTGACCTCTGCGCTTGACGCTAAATTGGAATTAAGTCCATAATAAGCAAGCTACTACCAAAAACAGTTTCATAAGTTAGCATCCGTAAGATTCATGGAAAAGAACATAAGGTGGATCCAGAAAGTCATCAGGAAAGCCACCTCTTGAGGGTTACCCATGCTATGGTTGGAGAAAGAAACCTGGCGATCGGATCCGGAATACATGTCCGTGAGGATCTCAGCCTAGCTAATCGTATTAAGAGACGAGCTGCAGAAGTAGAAATAAATGGGAACCACCGAAAGGTGATAGAAACCACATAATTAAGGATTTTCAAGTTTTAAAAGTTCGTAACAAATGGATCCACAAGCCACTCTGGGTGGTAAAGGAAAGTTCTCCACAGAATTAAAGGTGTGCTACCAAATGAAATGGTGGAGCTCAAGACACTGGTGGATATAGGATAACCGGATGTTATTGTTGGGTCAAAAGGATAGTTAACATCTAAAGGTTTTCATGATGAAATTCAGTTGAACAGTTTATGATCCAGTAGGGCTGAGATCTTAAACCGTAGGGCAGGTGGGGTTATCCCGTGCTCGAAAAGTACCCTAACCATACGAGCATTTGAGACAGTGACACACGACTTAGGGACATGTGAACTCGTGTGTTGCAGGCCGAAATGTAGACGGCAAGATATTGAATTAGTTGTTGTGTATCGCATTACAGAATGTGTAGTGGATGACTTCTTTCCAAGCAAACATATGTCCTGATGTGAAAGAGGTAGAAGCTTTATAGTAGGTGACTTTAATGCACCGTATGTAAACCAGATAAACTTAGAGGTAGGGTTGCGCCGACCCGTTCTATAATATGGAAGGTAGGAAGGAGGCAATAAACTCTGCAGCGTCGTTTGAAAACTTATAAATTGACTAAACGGCATCAGTAGGAGAGGCGTGGAATCATTCCAGGCAGTTATACAATTGGGTAGCTCAACCAAACATACACTGAACAGTTCCAAAGAAGAAGAATTAGAAGAACATACATTCCTGATAGGCCAGGATATTCGACGTTTACTGAGACAAAAAAAGAAATATTTGAACGCTGCCACCAGCTTTGGCACAGCAAGAGCGATAGAACGCTACAAGTCGACAAGAAACAAGTGTATAATTAAAATCCGGAAAGCTCAGAGAAAGTATGATATGCAGTTGGCACAATCTCTATCTAAGCAGCCTAAGAGACTATTCTCGCACATTAATTACAGAACAAGGATGCATCATTGGATTTCCAACCTAATTAGGGAAGGGAGAGAATCCAAAGTGACTGAGGAAGATCAGAAAAAGCAGAAGCTATGGCTGACTATTTTGGGTCAGTTTTCACCCTGAAATCCCTCCTATACGAAGAACTAGACCTAAATACAAAGTTAACAAACCGCCTGATGACTGTGAACTTTGATTGAGATGATGCACTTAAGGCTCTTATCACCTTGGATATGGAAAAGTCAACAGGACCGGATGAACAACGCTCCAAAATCCTGAGATATACTACACAATATATCACAGCCCCACTGACTGTGATATTCAATATATCACTTGACCAAGGTGACCATGGTCACTTATAGACCAGAAAGATGCAATCATCACTCCGATACATAAAACAGGATCAAGACGAATTTCATTGAACTACAGACCTGTCAGCCTCACCAATGTTGTAGTCAAAATATTGGAAAGAATAGTCGAAGAGACCATAATGACATTTGTGGAAACCAACAACTTGTTAAACAGTGAAAAACGTGGTTTCAGAAAGGGTTTATCTTGCACAAGAAACCTCCATATAGTAAGGAAGCATTGGAAAGATGCGCTAGACAATGGAAACTCGGTGGATGTTATCAACATAGACATAGGCATTTGACAAGGTGCCAACAAATGGACTGCTTTTGAAGATAGAAAATCTTGATATTGCGGACCTCTCTTAAAATGGCTTAATGATTTCCTAGTAGGCCGTAGACAGAAAGTAAGAACAAATTCCATGTACTCCATCTGGAGACTAGTACTTAGTGGAGTACCTCAAGGTCTTGTCCTAGGTCCTTTACTATTTATACTATATGTAAATGATCTTCCAAGTATAGTACAGTCTCCGATGTTATAATACGCTGAGGATGTAAAAGTCTGGCGAGTAATAACTGGAGAGGTAGATGCATGCGCACTTCAGACGGCCTAAAGAGTGGCTGATGTTTATTAACGAGGCAGAGTGTGTCAACATAAACTTTGGGGATACAAAGGTTAATAGGTACAGCATAAGAGAAGTGCCTATACTAGTGGTTCAGTCCCATAAGGATCTTAGAGTGAGAGTGAGTAACGATCTTGAGACCGCGGCCCACTTCGGGAAGGTCGCAGCCAAGGGGTACAGTATACGCAACCTTACTGAGAACCAAGCTTGAGAATTGTGTTCAGGCTGCAAGCCTCCGTTTATAAGGTGACTCGAATATCCTGAAAAACGTACAAAGGACAGCCACTCGTGCAATTACAGAACTCCGGGTTTTTACCATGCAAAGAGCACCTCGAAAAGCTAGAACTTTGCCCTATCCTATCACAGACTAAAAGGTGATCTTATTTTGATGTGTGGAATACCAAGAATTGATTCTGAACCTAATATATTTTCTCTTTTTCTTCCCACTAGCTCGGGGCATCTCAGGGAACATAGCAGGCGAGTGGATAAGCCAAGAATGAACAAAATACCCGTGGCACACAGATCTTCGTACCGAGGCATACTAGAAAAGGAAAAACATAAGCCTTCTATCTCTACTACACAAATCTGAATCTGAAACAATCAACGAAAATTCACTTTATATTGTTTTACTTGATGTTGAGGACTGCAATTGATCAGTCTCTTATTGGCATATGTGCATACTGTGCGTATTGCCTCGATATTGCCTTAATTTACAACGAAAATATTGAGAACATCGAGGTACCGACTAGACATCATCTCTGTCACTAAGGTTTACTAATATTAGCTAATTCTTGCAATTTTGAAGGCATTGGTGATGCATGAATACTTTTCTCCGCTACGTGACACATGTCTGGACGTGGCTGATATCAGTGAGGACATTTCTTACTAATCGGACCTATTATTAGGTTGTATTACCTTATGTATTTCTTTCAAACAAGTCTCAAAATTGTCCCAACTTATATATCGTCACAACAACAATATCATTGAAGATTCGTCCTATATCATGCATCATTACTATGGCACCACTTTCGTTACTAGAAGGATAGGCATTTCGGACATAGTGTGGCTAAAATTAATTAAAATCTAAAAATATCTTGATTTGACGGCTTCTGCAAAACCTTACGAATTGTCGAAGTTGTGCACCAATCGATTCACGTTGGTTTGACCTTCAAGCGCTCAGTAACCTTACTGAGCGGTACTCCTGAAGGGTTGCCAAAATACCATCTAACGGGTCGGTTCGTGTTATCCATACACAGAATCTCCGCTTGGACTTCAGTCCTGAAGGGTCGCGAAAACTGAGGTGAGGTAGTTTTATATATATATATATATATGTTCAAATCAGACTTCTTATTTCTCATCTAGAAGCATAGTTTCTGCTTGTGAGATTCTAGTAGGAAATGAGACCCGTGCGAGATACATGGACCGAAGGACAACACCTCAAAGATAATTCCCCTCCCAGTAGAGAAAATTGAAGTCCTATAAGGCAGACGTACTGGCCGGAACTCCTTTATAATTCTCCTTATGTCTGATACAGTGGTATTATAGTTTGTAAGTCGCTCACCATTCAATTAACATCTGATTGTCAAGCCTAATTTTCGGCATTGTGTTGCCTACGCCACTAAATGATGTATGGTACTTCTGTGACTTGGATAAGACGGCGGTACCATTGACTTGTCACGTATTGTTTTGTTCCTTTGGGACTTGTTTTTGTTTCTTTTACGGACTGCAACCACCTGTTGACGTTAAATAATTAATGTTAAAAACTCTTCATGTACACCCTCGTGCCTCGGTTTGATTCATTACGATGTTAGTACTTGATAACATTGATGCTTCTCGCGGTATTGTTTACTACTTGTATGTGTGAGGGGCAGTTAAACATAACAAAGGTGTTAAAATGGCAGTGAAGACGATCAAACATAGAATAAAGGATACGTGTGAAAATGACGATACGAAGTAATAAATGGGAATAAGCAATGTTAGTGTACAGTTCAAGTCTGGTGATTGTCCTTGCAAACTAAATAAGACTAGTCACTGACTTTCATCTCAAATACACATTAATTTCTTCAACCAGTATTAGTGCCTTAGCATACATCTAATTGGCGTATACATTCAACCATTAGAAAATTTGTGAATCACTGGAATCTCTGTGCTCTTTGTTTAGTTACTAAGCCAGTTAATCTATTTTCCAACCGATGACGTTCCTAACTATTGATTTCTCTATGTTTTTCGTTCTTGTAAGTGTCTAATGTTCAACAACTTGAATAAGTCACAAATATATATTTTTGTAACCCGTCATTACTTGCCGTTTGTAAGGTTAATGTTAAAAATTTATTTCAACCGTTGAAAACCTTATCACACGAATGAGGTTACGAAAGATTCTCTGGCATGTATAATCTTAGGGTTAAATTTTAGGTTATAATTCAAGGCTTATAAAGTGACTACGTAGATTAAACAATCAAATATCTATATATCATGTTGAGGGAGACTACCGTTTATAAAACAATAAAATAGTTTTTACCGCTACAGTATAGGTAAGGTACTTAAACAACTGACCGATTGCACTATTTCAGTGTAAGTACCCTAGTTATATACCAACAGTTAAGCCTATGAGAATAAGTTGTAACTGAACTTCCAAGCCAATAAACTACTGTGTTTCTGACCCAAACTCGAGGCAGTTATGGTACTAATATTGATTTTCCGATCTATACGTTATTGTTCGTCAGTTTTTTACCATTTAACATAAGTTTTCACATATGTTTATTCAAGTCGGGGTGTAATACGTGGTAATCATTTTTTGTTCGTAAGCTAGTTTTAAAATACATATTCAATAGTTTTGCTTTTTTTATGATCATTTCAAACTTTTAGATTCGATGAACCATCTAACTTGTCCTTTTTGGATGAGGAGAATTTCTGTATGGTTTCGAGTTTCCAACCTTATTAAAAATTCTCTCATAGGGAATTAATTCACAATTCCCTAAACGCTATTCAGATATCAGTGACTTCAGAAGTGTACTTTCTAAATCACACAATGTTCTGGTATTGACTGGTGCTGGTATAAGTGCTGAAAGTCATGTTCCAACCTTTAGAGGATCAGGTGGATTATGGAGGAATTTTTCTTCCCAGGTGATTTCTTTAAAAATGGTTGTGAAAAAAGTTATTTGAAGGATCTTGCTACACCCGATGCATTTCATTCAAATCCTGGTTTGGTTTGGGAGTTTTATCATTACCGTCGTGAAATCGTCCGTCGTAGATGTCCTAATGCTGGACATTTAGCTCTTGCTCATGCAGAGAAACAATACACTGAGTGTGGTCGTTCATTCTTTGTCATTACACAGAATGTGGATAGCCTTCATGCCAAAGCAGGGAGTGTTAATATATTGGAATTGCACGGTATGTCCAAATGTATAAATGGTAGTTTGTCATCAGAATATTTCCTGAGTTGCTACCATTGTTTACACCTTATTAAAAAATACGTGGCTATTGTAGACTTTTTCTTACATAAATTCACTTGCAGGATTATGCAAATTTAAACATTTCAGAGAAGTATAGTATTTACATGTTATTCATCGAACTTTAACGTGGCTGAAAAATAAATGTATCTAATGCGGAACAACCGTAACTCAAACATTACTCTTTATTCAAATCTACAATGAAGTTTATTAAGAATCCCATGGTGATTGGCTGACAACATCTTCCAGATTTATGAATTCATTTATTTTTTTGTTTTATCTGTACGTGTATATGTTTAATTTGTAAGATCAACGGTTGAGAATTAGACGATATCGGTGACAAAAAAGGACATTCATTTTCTATATTCCAACTGATCTCCAATATGGTATTCATCTTTTATTCAAACAACTGATATCTTTCTGTTTAAATTCACTGTGACATTAAGAGATAATAGATTATTGAGATATCTTTCACTTCTCTCAGGAGCAACAATGCCAGGATGTTTGGGATGCGTTTCTCCCCCTCTAAATGCAACTCGTTGCTTCAGAACTGGTCTGCGTCAACACCTGAACTACGGATATGGAGTGAAGTAGTCGGACGCGTCGATAACTTCACTTATCTTGGAAGTCTGATCAGCCCTAATGGGTTGGTGTCAGACGAAATCTCAGCACGGATTCAAAAAGCTCGTTTGGCAGTAGTTCGTTCTGTTCTACTTCACGGCTGCAATACGTCGCTATTGAGAGTAGAAGATACTCGTAAGCTACTAGTATTTGACCACAGATGTCTTAGAAATATCGCTAGCATCTGCTGGAATCACCGGGTAAGTAATAGTGAGGTTAGACGAAGGGTATTAGGGAATGATGGTAAACCAGTTGATGAGGTTGCAAATCCTCATGGACAGATATCGTTGGGCCACGTGTTACGTATGCCTGAACACTAATTACCACAGTGAGCAATGCTGACTAATGTTGGAGATGGTTGGGAGAAAGTTAGAGAGGACCATTTGAAAACGTGGCACCAGTCCATAAAGTCACTGAGATGGTTCAGAATCGATCACAGTGATGTAGGTGTATGCACCCATTGTCTTCCCTTAAACTGTGAGATTAAAATCACTTTATACCTTTACTTCTACGAACTAATTCTTTCTTCCCGTATTGTATCCTCACACAGTTTTTGTTTCATATATTACTACCAATGAAGTAACTACTTTTATGAATTTGGTGTTCATTTTTCTGTGCTGAGGTGTGGCAACTTAGAACGATGCATGTATGTGCCTGATCCTACGTTGTAGCTGACTGACTGGCTGACTTTTCTGTCTCATCTATACAAGCGTAGCTCCTTAAATATTATCCCAACCTGTAACATATTATACTATAGATTTTTCGGTCGAATTTTTTTCAATTCACAAATAAATGTTGTGGTCGTTGCACATTTTGTAATGGTCGCTTATAGTTCTGTGTACATTAATATCTTTTCATAACCGTTTCATCACCATTTACACAAATTAGTCTATGCTATTACCCCAAAAAGTGAAATGTTCTATGTCTTATAAATATTTAAACAACTATTCTGTTGATCCTGAATAATTCTTGCGTACATGTTTACAGACAGACATTTAATCGTCAGTATTACTAACGTCATTGTATGATCGAATTTCAGTGGCATTATGGGTAAACTAAAAAGTCATTCTTAGTTAACTCTGTCCTAAACGTTCTTCTGACAGTGTTCAGATCTTTTATTGGGCTCTGATATTCAATTCTCAAAGCCATTGTGTACGTTTGTATATGCAATAGGTCTGTGCTTGATTAATCTTTAGTATAATGAATTTTGTAGTCAGCATCTGATCTTTTGCTTTAAATACTGTGGTAGTAAGGTAAGAAGATATACACGTAGAGTTAACACAAAATTATTAGTAACAATTAAGTTTGGTGGCTACAGAACATCAAAATGATCCAACTTTAATGGTCGACATTTTAAAATCTTAAGTTTCATACCTTACAGTTTGTGTCTTACTCAACAAAATTGATGTTTGTCTATTACTCATTTCAGTTACCAGGTTTTCTTACTATATTAGCAGTTGAAGGGATGAAATACTCCTCTTATAACCAAGCTTGACTGTGGCTTATGTGAAGCGAATTAATTTAGTCGTATCATATTAATGTTACCAGTTGAGTTTAAATTCACAAAGTTGAAACAATTCTGCTGTCTATGTAGCATGTTCTGTTTGAATATAATGTCATTGGGTACAGCTCCAAACTAATGAAAATGCAGTTTTAGTTTGTTATAACCTAGTTGGATAAAAATATTTTTAATTGGCTCTTTCAGCGTTTATAACCTGTTTTTGGATATTTTTGTGTTGATACTTTAAAGGAAAACTTTATATTTAAGTTGCGTAATATAAAAATTTTCATTTTTGTATAAAACTTATCTTTTATTAACAGGAAATCTTTATAAAACACGATGTTTAAAGTGCAGTGACATTCGAGTGAATGTCGATAGCCCAATATGTGCAGCATTACTTGGTCGCGGGTAAGTAATTGATTTGTTAATTACTTTTATCAAATTGATTATGGTTTGAAAATGTTTCTTTTCCAAATGATCTTCACAGTTAATGCACACTGTATAATTTGCACCTCAGTTAATACATTTGAAAATGTATTTAGTTATGCAAATGGATGGAAATTTGTAAAATACTCGGTTCGTAGTTTTATATATGTGACAGACTATATCAGTGAGCATATGCACAAGCATATATTTCAATGGAATGGAGTAATTTGTTTGAATGTTTGTAGTTTTCGATACGGTGCAATTCAACTTTATCTAATATCTAGTTATTGGTTGGTAAATGTGTCGATTTTTACTAATCGAGTTCAGTCCGTTTAGTTTAGTGCGATGAAATCAAATGTACTGTTAAAATCGCTAGTATAAAACTGTTCAAATTACATTAGTGTATATGTAATTCATAGAGTTCTTCAAAGATATATTTTCGTCAAAGTTTAAATATAAAAGTCTCATCATCGTTCGTTTACTATTACAGAATTGATCTACCTAGTCAAACATTAGTTGTTTCCAACTCTTATAAAACTATGTAAACATGAATTTCCTTCACTTTCAGTTCACCAATCATTGAGAATATTCCGTACGAGCCAATTCCTATATCTCAGTTACCACGCTGTAAAAATCTTATTAATAATAATATATGTGGTGGACTGCTACGACCACATGTCGTTTGGTTTGGAGAAAATCTTGAACCACATATCCTTTCTAAAGCCGATGAAATAGTTCAGAAAGCTGATGTTTGTCTGGTTGTTGGTACTAGTTCTGTTGTTTATCCCGCTGCAAGTTTTGCTCCATCTTTAGCTAACCGTGGAATTCCTGTCGCTGAAATCAATGTGGAAGTTACTCCAGCTACTCATTTATTACAGTTAGTGTTTTATGAATATTCCTTTTCTTATGGTATTAAATTTTGTTATGTAATTACATATTAATGTTAGAATTTGTTTCACTTTGACGTTTTATTTCAACACCATAAATTATTGTCATTCTAATCCATACACATTTCGTTAACTTCTACACTGTTAAGAAGAATATTGTCCAGTGAAGTTATGCACAATTAATAAGAAGCTAGTGGGAACAAAATCCACATAATTTAGTTATGAGATATTAGTTTACAAAAGTCAAATAATGAACAAAGTAACCAAACTATAACTTATGTGTTGTATTGTTTGACTGTTATTCTACAATGACGTAACAAGCATAAATTTTAGAAAGTAATAATTACGAAAATAGACTGAGAAAACCCATTTAGTTTAATGATACCATATGTTATGCTCTCCTCTTTTTATCATCATACTAGACGGTGTTTTCAGCTTACTTTCGTAATTTCTGCTCTTCAGTATTTAATTTTTCGCTAGATAATGTGTTAGCTTTTGAAGCAATAGATACTGCGTCCCAATCTCAGTATAAATTTTAACACGAGGGTGCTAGCTCATCCTAACTGATAATTCTCATGTAAGAGGAATTCGATCGTTAGCCCCTCAAAGATAATTGTTTTCGTGGAAACTTTATAGTATTCCACTCGTTTCTCAATTTTCACTAACCGTAACTAACTTTTTTATTAAACTTATATTATTAACAGTTCCATGTGTTACTTTCAGCATAGGGTTGTGGAGATTGTTGAATTTAGATTGATATCATGAATGGATTAATGTTAGACCACCGTTGAAGACGTGAAAGCATTAGGCGGGTGTTTTGTCCTAGTATATGACTCCTCAACAGTGCCAATCCACGATCCCGCACCCGGGACTCGGACCCAGGACCTTTGGTTAACGTCAGACACTAACACCGTTGTGTGCCGGTTCAGTGGTCTAGAAGTTAAGCGTTCTCACGCGAGACCGATTGTCCTGGATCCGAGTCCTATATGCGGGGTCGTGGATGCGCACTTCTGATGAGTCCCACACTAGGATTAAACGACCGTCCAATGCTTCCAGGCTTTCAATGGTGTTCTAACATTGATTCATTCATGATATCAATTTAATTGTTATAAGCATTTATTAACAAGTTATTCTTTCCTCCTCTCAATATTACATCATTATTTTATTTCAGATATCATTTTCAAGGAAAATCTGGTGATATTCTACCGGAACTGTTTGATTCCTTAGCTTTAACTTAGTCGATATTATAATTAAGTAATGCTGTTTTTTGTATGTACCTACCTTCAACTTCATTTATTTGTTTTGTAATCTTTGTTTACGTTGAATCTTTTGTATAGTCTATTCTAATTACACTTTCTATTGGGATATCAGTTGGACAAAAAGAGAGAAATCAGTAAATGAACCAATAAAATTTATTTTGTGCATAAAATGCAAAGTGTTTGAAAGGTGAAATAAATATCATGAATTATCAAAATTAAAAAGAGTAATGCTTTTTAACACCAGGGTCTGAAAAAAATGTTTAGTTATTTTTCTATCTTCATTATATTTTTTTGTAGTATCATTTTACAAGATTGACAAATTAAATTGCCTACCCATCCAGCTAGAATTACTCAGTAAATTACATGGATAAATGATTGTATTATTGATGTATATCATAAAATCATTTTGTTGTACTTTCTTTTCAGAGAAGTTCTCATTAATATGGATGTTATTTTGTCTATTTCAAACAGATTATATCTTTTGTTTAATTCACAGAAGTCATTTATGACAGAGAACTTTACTTTTATCGGGAGGAGGGCCTCCTATACCTTTTTCATTTGCCAAGATTTTCAGTTTCATTTGCTTTTTGTGCTGTAAAGCAAGGTGTCACCTGGCCCGTCCTCAAACGGTAATATTTCAATCGCAATTTAATTCATTTATTTATTTGAACATACAAATATTTGTACAGAGGGGCACCGATTACATATGCACCACACAAGTCACTTGGTTTGTGCGTGGGCTATGATGCTTCATGGGTGCCCAGGCCGAAGCAGGTGATTTTCTTGGGGGAGCACCCGGAGCGTTTGACTTAAAGGTCTGATCCACAGAACAGTGAAGCAACGTCAAAAGATGCAGTCTCATGGTAGCCGGTGACCAATAATTGATTCATACGCCATTTGTTTCCTTAGGATCCTGAAGTCCATGTACACGATTAATTTAGAACCAGGGTTTTCCAACTCCACTAGGTGGACTCTCCGTGTTCACTAACTTCGTTAAAGCATTGAACATTCGCTTTTCGTCCTCTCAATTTCGTAAACAACAACTCCGCTACGAAAAGGCAGTGAGTAGGACTTCCGTGGCAGCGGGTGTGTACTTGTGGCTGTGTGAGAGCATGTCGAGTGAGAGAGCTGACTCTCCTCACCCTCTGTCTTACCAGGGAGGGCTTGGTAGCCACTTACTGCTTATTTTCTGATATAAAAAAGTTGTTAGCGGTCATGGTCGACGTTTGAAGAGAGTACCATAAGCCGTAACGGTCGTCATGCGTAAGTTGCTAGAATACAGGTAGCGATTGGTTGCCTGAAATAAAACCGTGTATTTTATTGTTCTTGTCATCAACCGAGCGATGACGATGAAATCGAAATTCTGTAAAAGGATTCGTTTTTAAGCTAAGTTGTTTTGAACATGTACACTTTTCATAAATTGTAGAAATTGATAAGCTACTTTCCATAGGGAAATGTAAGCAATTGATAGTCGTATAAGTTGATCAGGCTGTAGTAATCAGTACCATGTTTGTGTAGTCCTTAGTGCGGATTGAATTTTGTTGGTCAATTTGCAAAGTAGTCACTAGTCTAAAAATATGTAGCTTTTATATCAGGTAGTTAAAGGTAGCTGATAAATGGGCACTCGATTTTTGAATGCTTCAATGCTAACGTCTTGGATACAAGCTAGATGGCGTCTTTCGACTGTCAGAGCGAGCATCTGTCCTCTCGAGATTTCAGGTAAGCCTTACTGACGAGTGTAAACTAGCACGAAACTTAGCTCCAGGGTTTCTTGCCAGCTAACTCTAGCTACCTCTCAGTCGATAATCATAATAACGAGTAAAGTGTAAATTACAACAAAATACGTTGATTCGCACCATTTATATAGATAAAGAATCGATGTTAAATTCGTTAATCAGAAATAACTTCAGCTGTTTTGTTGCCTACCTATGTGATTGTGTGATGTGACTCATTCGATGAGTATCATTATTCGTCATATCATAGAATGAAGAATAAACACAACTACTTAAAAGTAGTTTACATTTTGAAGGTAAGTTTTATGTGGCCTGATTAAAAAGTACTATTGTATGTTGGCGAACACGTAATTTGAAATCTGTCAGACAAATTAAGGTGGATTTTATAGTTGTTCTCACTTAGTGAAGGACTGCTTTTTTAAACCTGGAATTTTTGACATTTATTTACTTTTAAACCTATATGGAATGAATCCTAGATGTTTACTACAGTAAAATATCGAAGTCTTTCGTAATCAGTGCATAATAACAAAATTGGTGAAACTAGAATTTCATGTAATGCGAAATCGTATAAAATATATCCAATATATAGAATTTACTGATTCCATTTTTACATAAAAAGTCACTCTGAAATGATTTTTGTGTAGATATGTACCCTAATCATAAATGGTCTAAAAGAAACTCTTCCAATTTATATTTAAGTATAAACCAAATCTACCTAAATAAATAATATATATTTATGATATCCAAATGTGTGGGAAACTTAGGTTCTCTGACGTTTCGTGACTTAATGTAAGCCACTTCTTCAGAAAATACATAACCAAATTAAAATTAATCCAAGATTAATTAGTACAACGAAACAACACAAGAATATTATGTGATCAATAAAAAAAACAGGTCCGAATAAATAAATCAATGTCATGTCATTTCGGTCAAGGAGATTCATAAACGACATATTTGTAAATTTGTGTGTGCACTGTTAAGAATGAAAAATGTATGTAAGCAATTCGAACCCATTACGTAATTATGATTTTTAAATATCACAGGTTGTAACCAACTGATGAGAACCTACGAAATAAAATGAATTCATGCTATTCTGCTAGAATGTTTGTTCTTGCTCTTTTCAAAATTATAAAAGGAACTATGTGTATAAGAAAGGATAGAGTTTAATTTGTAAGATAATAGTGTGGATCGTGAATCATATCAGACTAGGTGGCTAGGATGTATGGTAAGGCCTTCTTTGCTATTGAGAGAAGTAGGGTTAAGCATTATGTGGAATGCTTCAGCTACTCTCCTCTCTTTGTAATTGGAAAAGACTTTTTGTAGTATTTTTTTATATTATTTATTTATAGCAATCTACCCAATGCTCCATTTATTCAAAATTATCAAATCAAACCTTAGTAATGATACTTACAAATCTACCTAAGTTTTCATTCTAGTAAAAATCATTTAGTAAAACATTCCTCATTTATTCCATTTTAATCACTAATATTTTTCAATACACGGTGTAAGAAAGCAGCCAGCAGAATAATTCAACAAAATAAGAAGAAAATTACTGTGTGGATAGAAAAAAGTTTCTTTTACATATTCAGATTTGTCAGTGAATCTCATCTCTCTGTATAATAATAATATATTCTGAAAATAATAATTACAGAATTCATGCCAGTTTACAGACATGATCAATTTGATATAAATAGTAACATAAGATGTAGAGAACAAACATGTGATAGAAGAAAGTTTGAAGTATACTGGTTCAGTAATTGTTTAGGTAGTACATATATTACAGCGATCGAAGCATCAACTAGGAACTTTTAATTTTTTCTTAAATGGACAGCCTGTTGATTTATGAATGGTGTAATTAAGGTCATCTCTTGTGCCAGATCGAATTAATGATAATTATCTACAACTAGAGAAATTAAAACGAAAACAGAGAGCACGGAATAACAAAGCAGTAATTACCAAAATATGTCAATGAGGTCTACCATAATTCATGTGTCATGTGACACAGTGATATACTGTTCATGTTAGATATTATTCAAATTAGTTAAAGTTGCTAGGGACGGTGTTAACATAAAATGACAGCATGTAGGTGGTTTTACTTGAGGAATGCACTAAGATCAATGGCTAAACATTTGAAGTTCCTATAATACCACTTGTGGAATGAGATACACTTACAGGTGCTAGAACATTCAATGCATTTTCAGAGAAGCAGTATGCATCGATGCAGCGAACAAATAATATACATATATATCGAGAAGTATTTAATGAAACTAGTTTTATTCTGCCTTTGAACAGCACGAATAATCATTCTTATATATAAAGTATATATGGAGTTGTAAAATATTTTTCAGCATACTAATATAACGAATTAACGTAGGATATGCTTATCCTTTTCCCGAACTAATAAGCACTGAAGTTGATTTTAAGAAGGAAAATATTTTACATCATTATAATAAAAGACCAAGAAGATGATTTGCACTGCATTGCAACGTTAGCCTGTGATATTTAAAGAGTTAAAAATGTCCCATAGATTTGCTGATAGTTTCTTAGTATGATTTATAATAAACACACAGCAATTTGAATGTATTTGTGTATAATAACTGTACTTATGTTCTATAGTTATGATATTCAGTTGATAATGATCAAGATTGTGTTAGGTTGTATGAAAAACAACAGAAGATCGTTTTCGGTTTATTTTTTTTGTCAGTCTATCTTTTGTAAAATACCTATTTTAAGCCATCAGAGTACTTCAGTTCTGTTCTCTTTTTTTACTTGGAGTCATATTTTGGTGCATAAAAGAGAAAATGGAACGGTTTCAAGACTTCTATTTGTGTCATTGATGAAAAACAAACTGTTTTCAATACTTATATTTGAGCGGTGGCTAGTACTAAAGGTTTAAACCCAGGTTGACTTAGTTCGGTTTCGACAATTGAGAAGTATCGCTAGCCTTCAAATATAGAATATAGCTTGAAGCAATGTAAATCAATCTTTTTGGTAAACAAATTAGGTAGGATAACAATAATTTATCACCGAAACATTAGGCCTCAGAAGCACATAAAGATATGATAGTCATGAAAAAAGGTGTAGTATCTATAAACAAGAGGTTTCTTGAAAGTAGCTACAGATTCACACTTTTTCCCTAATCATTACATAATTTTTACTTTATGCAAACCTATTTTTAGATATCTAGCGTTAACTTATTATGAAATAGGTAATTCTCAAATCTTGGTATAAATTTTGTAGTGCTTCTTGAATGCAATTTAAAGTGATGGGCAAAATTATCAATTAGTTCTAAAACAAATAGCAATTATTTAGCGGATTGTCCTGATTAGCACTGTTTTTACTCAAAAAAAACCGGTTAATTAAGAATTGTTCAAAAATCATTGAAATATTATTCAAGATCTTGGAATACTACCTTGAGGTCTATTTGTGTATTGGAATTACTGGATGACTAGGGTCCAAGTAAAAATTATCTACTGTTTTGGGAGACATTTGTATATTTTGATGGAGAAATTGCCATGATGGGCAAGTACGTAACATATGAAGAATTACTGGAAAGGGGAAAAAAGTAGAAAACTTCCCGGTTTTTCTCTTGAAAAATTTTAAAAAATTCATCTTGAACTGGCCACTACAGATTGTATGATTTTGTATTTATTGTTGGTAAACTTTATTTGATTGTTTGTTCATTCCACTTAAGAAAGAAACATCTCTTTCATTAGTATCAAGTCATAATAAATAATTAACTTCAGTAACTGTCATCCCATACTTTATGATGAATTAAGCATTTAAGATTTGGATTCTTAATAAATAACAACGTCGTAATGATCTGGACAGGATGTACACGATTCAAAAGAATGATTATTTTCAGACCTTCACATCAACAACAAGAAAATACAAACACTGGTAAATTTAACATTAACAA